TTATACATTTGAATAATTACTACATCAATATCATAGAATTTTACTATAATTTATCAAGCATAGTAACTAAGCTTTATTTGGGTCTCAAAAAGTATGAAATTTCGAGCAGACTAAAGACACAACCTACTCATTGAAATCTTATTTCAAGAGAAAGAAATGGTGGAAGGAATGCTAGAAAGACTGAGAAAACCACTAGGGGGATATTCTGAGCTTCTAATTGGTTATTCATGTCATATATAGAAGTAAGTGTATATATAAGGGAACGTTTTCAAAAATGGAAAGAGGTGAGCTGGGTGCCACTTTGTTTGATTTATTACATGAGCAATATCTTAGCAAATAGAAAAGATAAGACCTTCTTATTTTATATTCTAGCTTGTCAATATCTGTAATTTGAGTTTCTAATTCGTGGGAAACTATAGACTTAGTATTTTGACTTCACAAATATCTAATTTGAACCAGTGCTGCATTTAACATACCATACGACCCACAAAAATCGATGTTTATCTGTGTTTTTATAATATTTACGTTTAAATTAACAAATTTAGTAATGTATAGTTCTAAAATTTGAATTATAATCTACAGTTTGATAACAAAGTTATTGACATAAATTCATGAAATAGTAGTTCAATAAAATTTTGAATGTGAGTTAACAAACGAGATGACATGGCCTTTCACCTGTGACCTGTCTCAAAATTTGGCTTTCTAGGCATAATTTTATTTTCCCAGGAAATTAGAGGGGGGGGATTTGTGAAGGACCAGTGCCATATGGCTAAGTTAATTATAATCTGTATTCTTGAGTTTATTGAAATTCCTTCATTGTGAATAACTATTATTAAGTTCTTTTTGTTACCTGTAGTTTTTGCCTTGTAAAAGAAATCTCAAATTATGATACCCTCTTGTTGTAATCTGTATTGAACAACCATATTAAATTAAATGGTGATTAGAGATTTTGAACAACTGTACATTTAGTTCTCTCTTAGCTTTCAAAATGTGTGTATGTAGTACATAGTAACTACCAATCAGAGTAGTTTATGTACTTAAAGCTAAACAGAATCAACTTGGCCATCAGTATAACTAATTAAGTACACTTTTTTTACATATCTACTTATAAAGTTTAGAGTGCATTTTCCCACCAGTAATGTACCCTCGCTGTTAACAATGTTTTCAGACATAAACCCAATAATATGTTAAGAGATTCATGCTAGGTTAGGAGATTTAGGTTAGTCCTAAATACATATACTAACTAAACTAACAGTGTGAAACAATCCTGAAAATGAAAGTATAGTTCCAAAAACAAAATTAAAAGGCAATAAAACTAGATATATCAAACATTCCAACCAATACCATTAAAGAAAGTAACTTCAAAGAAAGAATAGAGTATATGTTACGTATGGAAATAACACTAGCATTCAACCCTTTACAGTGCCAAATATCTACTTCAACAGGCATCCATACAAGAGATGTTTTGTTGTATTTCATTAGAAAATGTAAACAAAATGTTAATTTCTATAGACGTCTTCTGAAAAACAAAAGGGATGCTGTTCATATTTATCTTTCATAGTTGAAATAACAAAGCTATAGTAGTACTGTCTATCATGTTTTTAGTAATCAGTAGAAAGGCACTGTATGATAGGCTTATTCTTTCCAGTACATATTCTTTCTACTGCATAAAAATGATGAAGGTACAATGCTTCTAGTCATTTGTATTTTATCAGATATATCATCCTTGCCTTTGCTGGATGTCTTCGCCATGGTCTCATTCCCAACTTGCTGGACAAAGGAACAAATGCCAGGTACAACTGTCGTGATGCTGTCTGGTGGTGGCTACAGTCTATTCAGGACTACTGCAGTATTGTTCCAGAAGGATATAATATTCTCACAGATCTAGTTTCTCGTATATACCCAACTGATGATTCATCTCCACTGCAACCTGGTCAACATGTCAGTTTCTCTTTTACGTGTTCATTGTCAAAACTTAACAAGAAAATTACAATTTTTTTCAATAGAAAACTTGGTTGATTTATTGTCAATAATTGTCAGTACAATTTTCATACATATTTCTATATTTACTATAAATATTTAGAAAATTAGCTTGAATAAAATAAAAACTCTTCAGCTGACAAAACTTTTTTGTTGTTCTTATCAATTAACAATAAATTTTGTCAACAGCTTGTGTCTTAGTGTTCAGCTGTTTCAATCGTGTAGTTGGTTTTAAAATTATAATTTTTTTCATAATCTTTTAGTAAAAAATTTTAAATTTAAGTCAAATTTTCATACACTTTGCCACACAACTTGTAAATATTACTGAGATCAGTTTTATGCAGTAAGCAATACTGTAATCAATATTAACTGGATAATCAAATTTCCTTCAGTATTTAGGAACTGGCAAAAAGTATCTAAACATGTTCACTGCTGAGGGTGCACATGTGCTCTTAGAATGTGTTTGCGTGTGGTCGCGATGCACATGCACCCCAACCAGTTGATGTTCCTGACCATCATTTGAAATGCACATTGTGTGGTTATGAGCTTTTAGTATAGGTGCTGTACTTCATACATTTATATGTATACAAGTATACTAGTGGAATTCAGGGGTGAAATTCTGCTGGAACTCGCTGGTAGTGAGTGCCAAAAAGTTATTTTTTAAGGCAGTACTAGTACCGGGTCTTATTTGAACTGCTTTGTTGTTTTTTATTTTTACACGTAGAATTTTTTTTTCTTTTTCAAAGACATATCCACTTCACCCAACTGAGTATCTCTACTTTTTTTTGAGAATTTCATTCCTGGTGGAAATGACAGGCAAGATCAGACATTATTGTATTATCCTTGCTTGAGAATAACCATAAGGTGGTATAAGGAAACTTGTATTAATATATTACAAATGTCTCTGCTAAATTCCTTTTATTTGTACAATCAATATTCTGGGAACAAAATGGCACTGTATAATATTTGTCTCGTGATAATAAAGGAGCTTTTACCACCTGCAATTGTAAGTACATCACCAAAAGTTAAAAGATGTTGAACATTTGCCAGCAAAATGCAAAATTGGTCCAAGCAGTAAAACGATTAGAAAAAAAGTGCAGATTATGCGTTGAAAAAGAAAAATGCAAATATTCAATTTATAACTGTGAAGCGTGTCCAGAATCATCCAGACTTTGTTTGGATCAGTGTGTCAAATTGTACCACAGAAACTGTTGATGTACTCATCATATGAGGTTTATATCATGATAAATACATATATCCATTGGTTTTTGTCTTCTCTTTGAATATAATATTTCCACAATTTTTTTCTAAACAAATTTCTAGATGTGTGTGTGTATCTGCAGCACTTGACCTCCATAATCTTTGTGTAATGCTGAGAATGCACTTGTCTTGAATACAAAAATGTCAAAATTTCATATTTTTGATTTATTGTTGTTATTATTATTGTTGAAATTGAAAACACAAAGACATTTCACCACAACTCTTTTTCAACACCTGCCATAGATGATCAGAGCATCTTAGCAGTTAACGTGTTAAAATTGACATGTTTATTCCTCACAGTGTTTCATGTAATATTCAATAAGTAATGATGGAAGTGATACTTTTTTATATAATTCTGTATTTCTTTTGAGTAACTATTTTTAAAAGGTAACTGGGATTGTTGTGCAATATAATATAACTTACATTTACATTATAAGGGGGTCAAATGTTTTAGCTTATTACACTACAATGATTACTATTTGTTTAATGACTTTTTTCAGAAAGTTTTTATATATAGTTACCATTTAAAAGAAAATCAAGGTGGACTAACATTAATTTGACATACGTACTCTTTCATAGTTGTCTTCATAAAATTGTTCAACAAGAATTACTTTTGTTAGGTTTGAGTATGTGGTAATTAACGGTGGCTGAATTAGATAAATAATCAAGATTAACATTTTTATAGGGGGTGAACAATTACCTTGGTCATTCATTGTTTTCATTTTATTGCCATTAGGAACAACCATTACACGATGTCATACAAGAAGCTATTCAACGCCATTTCCAGGGATTGCTGTACCGAGAACGTAATGCAGGATTTAACCTTGATCGTGAGATGTCTAGTGAAGGTTAGTTATCTTTATATATATCTAATACCTGTTTTTTATTTGTTTAAGAGTAAATGTGATGGATTCATGACAAATTTGTATTTACAAGGCATATGTGTTATTCAACTTAGGAACAATTACATATGATGGCACAGAAAAGTGATTCTTCTTTTAATGTTTATTAAAATTGCTTTTCCAAAATATTATAGGAAGTTTATTTTTATATAAAAGAATATCATGGATTCTTCCTCTCTGACCAAATGACCAAAATTTGCACTGGTATTTTTACACAATGTTAATCTGTATTTATAAAAACCACTGCCTTTTGGTAATGGTCAGTTTGTTGATAACACTCAAGTTGCCTCAGTTGTTAGAGCACCTGAACCTTGAGTGGACGTCTCATGTTCAAATATCAGTACATTTGGGATTTCTTATTTTTTTTATTGATAAATGATCATGTTTAAAATACCTATACTATGATATCTGAAATTAATATTTGTTAATATTGGATTTCAAAGACAGAATGTCAAAGTGGCTGAATGGCTACAGTGCTTGACTCTCACGTAGAAGTCTCGCATTCAAATCCAAGTGAAGTCGGGATTTTTTTTTTTTATTAAATGATCAAATTTACAGCAATCTCTTACATTACCATTGTATATTATATTAGGTATTTGAGATATTGGTTAACATTCAAAGTAAAAGATGGCACGTTTACAGCATCAAGCTACTCCAGCTTTTCATTTCAATTGAAAACTTCTAACACCAGCTAAGAAAAAAATTCTAAACTAAAATTCTGAATAAAACTAAAAATAGTTCAGAAATAGTGCAAAAAAGAAAATATCACTTAGCAAGAGAAAGAAAAAGTAGATGGATGGCCAGAAAAAATCAAAAATACTTAGCAAAAATCAGGATAACTGAAGCAAACAAAAAACCAATTGATTCAGTCAAACGAAACTCCTAAAGAAACAAAGTGAGGAATACAAATTGACAATATCACTAAAGGTTACCTCATCTTATAACCTCCAAAACTAAGCCCAAAGTTAGGATATTGTGAAGTAAGCTGACACTGCTAAATCAAAAAATACCTACTTAAATACAGTGTGCTTTTAGTTAATGATAATGAAAAAATATATTAACAACAATAAATTATATTCATTAATAATAACTGTAGCTATAACTGAAAAAAAGGGTCAAATGATAATGAAATAGTAACAAAAAATATAACTTCATTATTCAGTAGTCAAGCTTTGCACCATTACAATAGCTTGACATTTTAATAAACCCACTAGTATTATATTCCATCAATTTAACAGAGAGGGAGCACTGCCTTTGAGTCTTATTTGTAAATCTCATACTGAACAGTCATTCTTTCCAATACTTTTGGCTATTTGTTTTTTAATTCTTTTTTTGCCTATGTGGATAATTTACAGCTGAAAAGCAGAACAGAACCAGTGTCACTCTGGAAAGTTTTCCTGAAAAATTAATTGCAAGTCTTTCCAGAAATGACATTGTAATTAATGTAAATAAATGATTATTTTTCAGTACATAAGAAAATAACTAACAGTACAACCATATTTTCCTTTACATTCTTTAAGGGAAATTTAGAATAAAACACTAGTATTTTTGACCATCGATGTATTATGTAACTTATATTAACAAAACTGGCTGACTATAATTGTAATAACAAAAATTTTTAACTATGTATGTAACTAACTATAATTAAAATAAACATCCTACAACTATAACTACTATAGTACCTGATAACCAAAAACATTGCCTAAGAAAAACAATGAACTCAAAACTACAGTCTTAAGCTGTTTATAAAAAGTATTCTGCATACACAATTTTGTATCTATATGATGTCACTTAAAGGTCATTTTTCAATATTTCTTTTTTAGTAAAATGATTATATTGTAATTTGCTTGTTTGATACAGCACATTTGTAATATATTATTGTCCTAAATTACAATCAAGTAGTAAACAAAATTTGTGCTTGGAATTAGTGGTTTTATTTTTTCTGTATTGTATCATTTTATCAGAAATTTTACTTTCTGTGACCTTCTAGCTTCTTGAATGTATGTCTTCTCTATAATATGGGTGTTTAACATACTTGTGCTTTTCAAACAGTCTTATTAGTTTAATCAATGTTTTACTTGTATGTTTTGTTGTGTTTGTTTACTTTTCCGTTTCTTAACTTTACAAAAGATGTTCTTCCTGACTTGCTTTAAATATTTGCTTTATACCACTTCCATACAGTATCTACAGTGCAAAATGTTTTTTATAATTATAGAAATTTGTTTTCTGCAATTGTACTTGTCTCTTTCATCAAAGTCTGACAGCTTATAATTGATGAAATGTCTCAAAAATAAGAATGACTAAAAATGCTACAATAATAAGTAAAAGATTGGTCAGTATATCTTTCAGTTGACCTTCATGGGTCTTTTGGTGCAAACTTTTATTTTCTTTCTAGCACATATATCAATTTTTCAGATTTCTATCATTAATGTATCAAAATCCCAGTGAGTTTAATTAAATTTTTATAATATTTTAAAAGCAGCTTAGTTGAGCAATTTTTAAAAATAAATATATATGTATTTCATTTTTGGAGCTGAGATTTATGGCTATTATAAAAAAATCGTTATCTTCATTTAGTATTCCATTTCTATATCACATAGCTGTAAACTTATGGAAATTGAAAGTTTAGTTAATTGTTGATATGTTGAATAGGGTTCAATAACAACATTGGAATAGATTTGAAGACAGGGTTTGTTTACGGAGGAAATGAACACAACTGTGGGACATGGATGGATAAGATGGGAAGCTCTGAAAAAGCAGGGAACAAAGGAAAACCAGCTACTCCACGGTAAAGCTGAATATTGGAGAATGTAAACAAGTATCATAACATCACAGTTTTTTGCAAATGTTTTTTGTTTTAATTCTGTTCCTTAAACATTGCAAACAAACAATCTTAGAAGGTTTAGTGGATTCAAGTTATGTTGTGCAATCCATTCTTAATTTTCAAATTATTAAAGTAAACATATTTGTTATGGCAGGGCTATAGGAGTTGTTTGTAGTAATGGTTCTGTGATTGTTTATGATGAAGTTCAACTTGATATCCAGTAAATTTGAACTGAAACAATGTTATTTTATACCTGAAAGATGGTGTAAATATTCAGTTACATAGATAGGTTTTAAAAAATTGAGAATCTTAACCACTCAGTTTGCTCACCAGCAATTGCAAAATCATTTTAGTATTTAAATTTCTAGTGAGGTCTTTATCTTGTGTTCCACACGGAGAATAAGTACGTACTTCCAATATATTTAACAACTTAAAACAGTATCTGTCTATTCTTCTATTCTGCAAACTTTCTTTTCTACCTGCACTCAGAATAGTGAGATAATATTTAATCTATAATTCTGCAATTCTTGTGACATTATAAAAAAAAAATACTTAATATAACTTTATAATAACAAGTTAACCTTAACTGATATTTTCTATGAAACTTATCATTTCAGTATTAAGTCACCAGACTTAAAATAAAAATTTTGTTTTCTTTGCTACTTCAGGCAATTCAGTTTTTCCTTCATTTCACAGGGATGGATCAGCTATAGAGCTAGTAGGACTCTGCAAGTCAGCATTGAGGTGGCTCAGTGAAATGCATAAAAAAGGATTTTATCCTTACAGCTCAGTGGAAAAAACAGAAAAAGGTAACTAATATATCTTATAATGCATTAAGAGTGATTGTTGCAAGTGAAATAATTCACACAGTTAAAAACTTGTTAAAAAAGTTTTGTTGGGATAGACTAAAGTATTATCTAATACAGTGATGTAAAATAAGCAGCTTAACAGTGAAAAAAAAAAAATATATATATGTATATATAGTTTAAAGTTATTTATTAAACTTCATTGATTTAACCAGGAGGTCTGACTTCATAATATCTCATTTGCCTTAAAATACTGTTTGTCAATTATTATTTAGATAAGTTAAGTGGAGAAAAAAAAAATTGAGTGATATTAACTGTCTCTTAGATGATCTTAAATATTGTTCTTTCAGAAAGTGTAGACGCTGCTCAGAGTACATTGAAACACTAATATGTGTAAATGTATATTATTATGTATATAATATCACATGTATAATTTCTATACTTGTATTAACACTGTAGGGTAAAACTACTTGTAAAATACAATTATGTAGATAACCTATCATATTATAGGTTTTAAAATGTTAATATACTTTGGACATGTCTAACCACAGGAAAAATTATTCGTATGACACTTGATGAATGGCAACAGTTGATCCAAGATAATTTTGAGCATTGCTTCTGGATAAATACTACTCCTACCCCAGAATTGGAACCTGCACCTGAACTAATTAACAGACGAGGGATTTATAAAGATAGTCACAATGCAACTCAGTTTTGGGGAGATTTCCAATTTCGTCCAAACTTCACAGTTGCTATGGTTGTGGTGAGTTCAGAAATAGGTCTTATATATGTATATATATCATCTAAATACATCTGTACTGTGTGTTTCCTGAGAAAAGGTGAATTACTGATGTACTAAGCCCTCAACTTGGGCTCTTAAACTGTATGTAAGCTATTGTTACTTCTAACTACATTTTCAGGACTTGAGAAAATATTTGAAGCATCATTTAATGAAACAGCAGCTCCTATCCAGTTTTTAATAATACTTGTACTAATCAATTAATACCTTCCATGCTAGACTTCCCTGTGGATGAGTGAAGTAAACTGGTGACTAGCCAGAATAACTTACCTAGGACTCATGCTTAATTTGAACTTAATGTAATATCTTACATAGTGAAAGTTTAGCCAAGGCAAAAAAACAGTGAAGGTAGCATCTAGGAAATATGATGAAGTCTGTACTAGTGGGATAGTCAAACCAAGCTTTATAATAAACTTTGCCATTATATCATTAAAATATATAACTCTTTTAGACATTTAATAGCAATGGAATAAAAACTGCTATACAAATCTAATTACAATGTCAGTATTACAATAATACTGTACCTCCCTTCAGTTCAGATTTGGTTATTACAGTAATGATGTATTATAGTTTTCACCTGTTTTGAATACTATTCTGTAGTTTTTGTACACGTAGGTAAAACAATACTAACTTTTCCTAGCAGGTTGAATATAAATGCTTTATAATTACTTACATGTCCAACAATATGCAGGATTGTACTTGTCTTCCAAAGTTGATATCCAAGTACCAGAAATTTCTTTTACATGGGAAAATTTGGTAAACAATTAAGAATTTGGGCTACAACCTCTTAACATGTGCTAATTAATTTACTAAGACAGTTTTTTTTTCTGTACAGTTATTGGGCTGATGGTGACATAACTTAAAACGTGTATATGATTTATAATAATTTTCCTCAGTTGCTGATCTGTTTTTTTCTTTTCCGTTCAGTGTCTGAAATTCAGTCATACCTATAACTAGCCTACAATTATTGTATTTGTTAAACTTTTGATAACACTAAGAAACAAATGTTTGAAATGTGTATATTTGTCAAATATTTACTGCCTTCCAGTGGTTCATTAGTAAGCTTGATGACTTATACCACAAAAATTAAGGGTTCAATAACTGCAGTGGGCACAGCACATATAGCCCATTGTGCATATTTTTTCTTAACGATAAACAAACTTATTTTTATAAATTAATTTTTATTTTCTCTATGCCTATTCCCTTGGCTTGGGTGTTGTTTGGTGATAGGTAAGAGACAGTGGGAGTCTTGTTAATCCATTTTCATTAATGCTAGTTGACTTTACATTCACATGGTAACTATTTATCCAAGTTTGCACTTATAGCTATATAAAACTTATGCTTAATTCATAAAACTTCTCAACCTTCATATCATGTAAAAATTAAAGTGAAGGATTTCTCAAAGTATCTATAATATATGTATAACCAATACTTTCTGTCATATTTTTTTCAAATAAATGTTATTCCTTATTGTTTAAGTCTATGTACAGGCTTGCTCACTTTGATCAACCTTGGAACTACCACGTAACCACTAGGTAATCATAAAAGTATGCATATTATAATTTTAATGCAATATGGGTATCTTCATGAAATTTGGTAAGAGTTTAGTAAATATTACAAGTCTTTTGTACACAAAAAATCATTTTAATGTTAAGATAAAAAAATTCCTTTTTTCATCTTACAGATTTCAAATTCCATTTGTATAACCTCAGAACCCCCTAAATAAATATAAAAGTTTTTCAGTAAAATTATATCTATTATTTCTCTACCCTAACCTTTTGTCAATTTGACTGACCTTGTAAAAAAAGAAATAAATCTAAATTGCCTTTTTTCTTTCTAGAATGACTGCAGATTGTAACAGAAAATTAATTATTTATTCTAAACAGCTTAAGGTTCATAAACAGTTTACTTTTTTTATTATTTAATGTTGTTTTATTGCTGTTTGAACCATATATAACTATTAATCCCATAACAAAAGCTGTAAATCACGTAATGGATGGACAGACATCCATTTTACCAAATGATACTAAATGCTAATAGATGATGTCAAAATTCTACAAAAATATAGAGCTGTGGTATTTTAAACACAGTCTAAAACTAAGGACTATCAAATTCATATTAAAAAAGCTGTTTAAACATTTTCAATATTAGCACATTTTGGAACATAAATTTTTTAAATGATCAAATTACCTTCCTCCAGATAGAGCTTCTTAGAGCTAACCATGTGGAAAAAATTGGCTCATCTAAGTGCAACCTCAATGGACAGACATCCCTTTTCCCCCCTCGACGTGGATTCCTGTACGTGGTGAGGGGACCTCCCAGGGAAGGTTCTGTATTTACAGTTACTTTCTCTGGGATC